TCCGATGTGTTTGTCCTCAACAGTACACTGGTAAGTGGATTTTTTTTTTTTTCATTTTTTATCTTATTTTATTTTTTTTTCATTTAAATTTATTCCCTATTGGACATTTGTGGGTACCATTTTAATGCAAACAAAGTTGTTATAAATGAAATAAATGAGTAAATAAATAGCAAATAATACATGGGCGCGCGTAGATATGGAATTTCCCTTCAAGAGTTTAATTCGATAGCTCACGATTTTGGTGTTTGAGGACAGTCTCGAAGGATCTTTTACACTAGGGTCAAATGTGAGAGATGTTTAACTCTCAATAATCTCTACAGCGAAACCATGACGACGTTCGATCAATATGCAAATTCCTAGCTGTGTTAAAAGGCACCACTAATGCACGAGTAATGCAAAGCCGCAAAATCACTCCAGGGCGAGTAAACATATAAAAAAAAATCTTAATGATTTGCGGGCGAACTGTTACTGGTGATTAGGCGCGAACTTGCTGTGGGGCGAATTCACCAGTTAACGATATGCAACGCAAATCTCTCTCTGTTGAACTTAAGATTCACTTAAATTTAGAGTTTTAATGTTTTGTATAATTTCTTAAGGGAATTTTGTGAGGTCCGCATGGAGATACCCTGTCGAGATAAGTACTTTGGTGCTTCAAGTATAGGCGTCTGTGGTCCGTGTAAATGTGAAGTGGGGAATGAATCTGAGTCCAGTTTGTAACAAGTCTACAGGAGAGTGCTACTGTAATGTAAGTACCACATGGAAGAAGCTTATCAGATGAACTTTATTTAAACCGTGGATAGTTTCGAGAGTCTAATCCAGAGGAAAAAATCAGAGCAGTTTCTGTTTTTCTTTAAAAAGTCAGGAGAAAGAGGGAAACGCTTGCACCTCAAGCAACGATCCCATCATGCCTAGCTCTTAACTCTTTGACTCCTAAGTATGACTAGCATCTAATTTCTCCCTGTGATATCATCCCTGAATCAAATATTACGGTCATGAGAATGAAGGAATTGATCACCAGTCAAGGAAGCTCTTGATAGTTTAACAAATTCTCCTTGTCAGGACCTTTGGAAAGGTGAAGAGAACAGTATAGAGATTATGCATACTGATCGTAGGGTGCATAGGATTAACTGTACAAACATTGCCTGAACTTTTGCCACTTTCAAAGGCAGACCTCCTCGCGTGAGGAAGACCTGTTGAATCGGGAAACGCGTTCACTGCCTTATCTGTGTAAAAAGTTTTGGTGGCGGAGATAATAGTTTTATGGTGTCTAAATTTCCTATTTCTTGCCAAGTCACAAGAAACCCACAGTCAAGAAGTGAAATTGTGACTAAAAGAACTGTTTCGAAATGATGGTTTGACACAATGTACAAATTTTTTAGGACGGGAAAATCCACTTTTAATTTAAATATGCGCTAGATGTAGCTGCGAATGTGCAAATGAAGTTTACTGGTCAGTTTTTTCACCCTGAAGAGTGAGTAGCATCTAATTTCTCCTTACAATATCAGCCCTGAATGACACACTAAGGTCATGAGAATAATGGAAATGATCAACAACTACAGAAGCTCTGGATCGTTGAATCAATTCTCCTTGTCAGCGCTTTAAGAATTGTATAGAGACAGTATGGAGAATATGCATGCTCTCGCCGGTTTTTATTTCGCTATGCTCTCCAATTGGCTTGTGAAACTCACGCCCTTTCGGCCATTCGCATTACTGCAAACAGTAGCCAATAACGAGTTTTTAACCGTGATCATCATACTTGTTCTGAAAGCGCGCTTCTACTAAGATATTTTCAGATGTCTGTGGTCATTCGTTGACTTGCACAAACTGTTGTCATGCGAAATCCGTGGCAAACGTGGGCAGACATTAGCTACCAAGACGCAGTTTTTGTGTGTGTGCTTTTACATTTCGTCGAAAAGAAGAGGTTTTTATACCGATTTGTTTGCGATTTGCATCATTCTTTATTGGATTGGTTTAGGAAACAGGGCTGAAAAGTGCATTGTATGGGCGATGTGTCTGAAAGAAAGCCACTTAATGGCTCCTTTATGGTCTTGAATTTTTCGTCGCCTGCAAAACCGCGCCTACTGTTCTAGAATTCAGTTCTGAAGCTTATGTGTCTTTCATTCACTTGTTACGCAATTGCAAATCGGTGCTTTCTTTTAAAGTATTTTTCTCGTTTTGTTTTTGTCCAGGCAAAGCACTATCGAAAGATTGTAAGCTGCACATTCTCGGGTGCCCCTGTGTTTAGTGATGGCTGTATTAGATGTGACTGTGAAGAGATTGGTAGTATTGGTGATCAGTGTGCTACAGAGAATGGCCAGTGCCCTTGTCTTAAAGGCCGAAGGGGAGGGAAGAATATGGTCGGAAGGTGTTGTAATCAGTGCGAAGACAAACAGGGTCAGATTGTGAGCGATAGAGGCTGTGTGGGTAAGTGAGATTTTACGTAACTTGAAGGCGTTGCAAACGCGGTGAAAATGCGTTTGTATGCGTATTTAATGCGTTTTAAATGGGTTGCGTTGTGCGTGTAAGGTGTTGACAGTGCCGATGAAACACGCTTCAACCCGTTCAAAACGCGTCTTTATTACAGGTGAAATGCGTTTGCACGCGTTTAAAACAGGCGCATAGACATGCATTAACTCCACTGCAGAGAAACAGAAATTTTTTCAGTCTTGTCAAATAGGGAAGAATCCCCATTTTTCCAATTTCCTACTTGGAAAAGGAAATTGGTTGAATTGTCAGAAAGTCGTGTGTTTGGTAACATTTCTTTCATGAGAAAAGAAAGTTACTTTTAATTCCTCTTTTCGAGAGTTTTTTAGAAACAGTTTGCACGAGAAATCGTGAGTCTTCTTTACACATAACTAACAATGATTTGCATTTGTTAAATTATTATTGTTGGTATTATTACTATTACTATTATTGCTATTATCATAATTATATTATTTCACCACATGAAAGGAAGATATCTCGAACAGCATTCGTCATGTTACCTCTTTTTATTTATTTATCTACGTATGATTTGTTTATTAAAACCGGGAAATGAGGAACTCTAGAATTAATTTTATTTGTTTGTATTTAATAGTTATTAACACATCATGTCCAAGAGCATTTGCTGAGGAAACATGTTGGAAGAAAGCCGCGTTTGGGACAACAGCAAAAGAAAAATGCCCATTCGGATCATCGGGTTTGTGTTTTGATTAACTTAACTTTTTTGGAAAATTTTGTGATCTCAGCATCTATGCCGACGTTTTTTTAAACTTTTTGATGAAATGTTGTATAAGAAGGTAATTGTTTATATCATGTTATATCTATGTTAAACCATACAATTTCTAGTTTTAGTTTTTCTCGTAGTCAGTCGTTTTGCCGATTAGTCATTATTTTATATATGTATTTGTACTGCTTTCAAGGCCGTAAGTTAGATAAATCATTGGGTTAATTTCGTCAACTTCGTTAAATAAAGAATATTGTATTGTATTGTATTGTAAACTCAAGTACGTGAACGAAATCCTTCGAGCGCTTCTTTGATGTGTTACTAAACAAGGAATTTACCACTGTTAGGTCAGTGAATAAAACCAAGTTACGTGATATTCACGAACTTTTGAGCAGTTCCTCATTAGTATTGCGTTTCTTCACCCGCGGGAAAGTATGAGGCCGTAAGCGACGTAAGTAGGAGAGAGGTGTGGAACGAGTTTTACGCTGAAAATAACATTATTAGCGCCAGACTTCCGGCAAATCTCTTCCCGAGGCGTCTCAAATTTTCCCGCCGGTGGAAAAACGCGCGTCCTGCAGCGCTGATCATGAAGGCGTGCTCGAAAGCTAGGTTTTCACGTGAGAAGCTTAATTTGGAGTCTGTGCTTTAAACACGAGTGTGGGTGATGATTCAGGTGAGAGTAACATAGCAGCACAAGCCTGCAGTAATGTTTAATGTTCTGCACAACTTGTGTAGTTTTAACTCCCAAGTTCGCGAATTCAACCACAATTTGAGATCACTGAAGAGAAAGTTTGTGATTAATGCTTTTCTTTCGTTCTGCTGAGTCATGCTTTCTCGATATCTTGTCATTAATTTACGTTATCAGCTCAGTTGATAATATTAAATTACTCTTGTGTCTTTTGTAGTTAAAAAATTTGACGTCTGGAAACGTCGACTGGAAGCCAGATTTCGCCCTTGGTATATACATAGGACAGCAGTTAGATCTTGCCATCACGTTATCCCCTCAACTGTACGCCAGAGACATAGAAATCGCACTGACGATTATCACCACTCTGTTTGGATACGAGAGTCAACAAAACTCCAAAAGCAACGATCCCGTCATGCCTAGCTCTTAACTCTTTGACCCTTAAGAATGACTAGCATCTAATTTCTCCCTACGATATCATCCCTGAATCAAATATTACGGTCATGAGAATGAAGGAATTGATCACCAGTTAAGGAAGCTCTTGATAGTTTAACAAATTCTCCTTGTCAGGACCTTTGGAAAGGTGAAGAGAACAGTATGGAGATTATGCATACTGATCGTAGGGTGCATAGGGTTAACTGTACAAACATTGCCTGAACTTTTGCCACTTTCAAAGTCAGACCTACTCGCGTGAGGAAGACCTGTTGAATCGGGAAACGCCTTCACTGCCTTATCTGTGTAAAAAAAATTGGTGGTGGAGATAATAGTTTTATAGCGTCTAAATTTCCTATTTCTTGCCAAGTCACAAGAAACCCACAGTCAAGATGTGAAATTGTGATTAAGAGAGCTGTTTCGAAATGATGACATGACACAACGTACAAACTTTTAGGACGGGAAAATCCACTTTTAATTCAAGTGTGCAGCTGCGAATGTGCAGAGGAAGTTCACTGGTCAGTTTTTTCACCCTGAAGAGTGACTAACATCTAATTTCTCCTTACAATATCAGCCCTGAATGACAAAATAAGGTCATGAGAATAATGGAAATGATCAACAACAACAGAAGCTCAGGATCGTTGAACCAATTCTCCTTGTCGGCACCTTAGGAATTGTAAAGAGAACAGTATGGAGAATATGCATACTGATGTTAGGCTGTAAAGAGAACAGTATGGAGAATATGCATACTGATGTTAGGCTGTAAAGAGAACAGTATGGAGAATATGCATACTGATGTTAGGCTGTAAAGAGAACAGTATGGAGAATATGCATACTGATGTTAAGGTGTAAAGGGTTAAAGAAAGTTTTGCCAGAAAACTCAACCAAGAGAGTAGTTTACCGATCAAAACCGACTTTTCGATCCGGAATCTCTTGCGCTTACAATTTCTACCTCTTTCAAGAACAACAACTTAAGTTATAATTTGATATGATCCACAGGTCCTTCTTCAGTCAGCCAGAACGCTGTTTAGCTCCGATATCAAAGATGTGTGGGACGTCGTTCAACAGGTAATAATTATTGGATCAATATCTGAGCACTTACCCTTCCCCTGACCCAAGAACGGTCAACTAATAACAAGTTAGTGTTGTTTTTTGGCTATGGGAAGGGTAGGTGCGCAGTTGCGCAGGTACTGACCTTGATCCGAATTATTTTTATTGTTGTTTTTTTTTTCTTTGGCAAGTAATCCACGGTCGATTTGTCGCCGGTTTTTATTTCACTATGCTCTCCAATTGGCCTGTGAAACTCGCGCCCTTTCATCCAGTCGCTTTACTGCAAACAGAAGCCAGTAATGAAGTGTTAACTGTGATCATCACACTTATGCAGAATGCACGCTACTACTAAGATATATTCAGATGTCTGTGGTCATCGCAGTAATCTTTAGTATTAATCTTTTCCGCTTCGGCTCCAGTTTTCAAAAATAATATCAACGTTCGTTCTGTTGACTTGCACAAACCGTTGACATGCGCAATCCGTAGCAAACGTGGGCGGACGTCAGCTACCAAGACGCAATTATTAATAGCTGATTGTGATAGTGCATGAAAAAGCACACAAAATTTTTCTTTTAATTAATTTGAATACTGCTCCTAGAAACGAATGACCAGTGGATTGTGACCTCCTTGTTTATATTGACACGAGCAAAAAAAACAGATGGAAAACTTCAGCGGAAACTTGGCTAGACGTTTACCGCACCTAAAACGAGACTCGCGCAGATACAGTCGTTGTACCGAAAGCATTTTGCCCCCGTACACGATTATTACTCTCGATATTGGTAAGAAATATATTTTGTTGAGTTTGCTGTGTCTCTTGGCATTGTCTCTTTGCAGGCTAAAGAGGCCAAACATTCTGGAGTGAAGGAAGATTTGACCTTAACTAACCGGTCAAATGTAAGTACTGCCACTGATAAATGGTGGCAAGTAATGCGAAGTAATTATGTTCGCTCATTTTACCTCGCAGAACATCAACCAATGCCCTCTTCTTATACCTAACACTACCAATCACGTTCTCCGCCACAGTTACCAATCAAATGTTTTTAATTGTGGTAGAAAAAAAGAAAGCGATTTGCTCAGTTGTCAAGTTTGTTTGTCTAGTATTGACCTTGTGACTTGTGCAAGCAGCAGAGGTCTGACAGAATCAGTGTTGTGTGCACTAAAACCTGTTGTCTGTAAACGGTGCAATACTAGCTTTGCTAATAACCTATCATTGTCGTCTCGTTTAAAGTTTTGCAATGCCACTGAGGTAAGAAGTGTAGCTATCAAGCCAACTTTGATGACAGTACCTAGTTTAAAGGAAGCTTTACGTAGTAGAGGATTAAGCACTGCAGGTACTAAGGAAATTCTAGTTAAGCGCCTTGAAGGTGCATTGGCTGGGGAGGGGTAGTTGAATTATTTTTTAATCAACAGTTTAAATCTCCCAAAATATTTGATTTGAAAATTATTTTTCTGGGTCAATTTGGTGCACAATAAGGCATACTTGTTATGAGAATGATAACTAGGCTCTCAACAAATTCTGTGTACCAGTAATGTGAGTATTATACCTACTTCATAAGAAAAATATATTTAAATTGGTGCAAATTTTTTTTAAATTAGCTGTTTGTCAGAGAGGTTAAACCTGTCCAAATGCAAAAGTACTGTTGTCACTGATATCACTTGGTATGCACTGATATATTACATATAAAACTTTATATACCCATTATTTTTTTTACCGACTTGCATTTTAGAGGCAGGGTTTCTGCTCTAATGAATTTTGTACTTTAAGGTTTGAGCACTTCTCTATACTGTTCTCAATATATTTAACGAGGTGTTGACCAGGAGAATTTGCTAAAAAATCAAGAGCTTCATTAGTTAATAATTCCCTCATTCTTGTGACCTTATGTTTAATTTGGGGTTAATATTGTAAGAAATTAGATACTAGACATTGTAAGGGGTCAAAGGGTCAATAACTAGCAATAGCATTTTGCTTATGTTGACACAATACATTTGTTTTAGTAATGGTTTGTCTTAAATAAAAGGTACAAGAATTTGCAGCTTGATAGTTTTAAGAGTAAGATGAAGTATGCACAGATAAATGAAATTTGTATCTAAAAGGAGTAATTCTGTATACTGATAGGATAATTTCATAAATGAATCAGACATCATTGTTAGTCAAATAATAAAAAAAGCTTTCAGCTGTTATGTTTAGGTAAAACCATACTTCTATTTATTTACTCCAATGTATTGCAGTCTACAAGATACGAAGATTAAATTTTAAAATATCTGCTTGTATTAAAAATATGTTTCCTTCAGAACTTTGTTTCAGATTACATTCAGGGTTGTCATTCTTTTGATGTATGAAGTTTCCTGACAAGGTCTAACAAAACATTAGCAACTCCTACTGTTAATTAACTGTCAAGCTAGATGATGTTCAAATTCAATACCTTTTGCAAATTTGAGTCCTTTGCAAATCCTTCTCGATCATAGCGCTGCACGTATAACGCGGTTACTACCCTTTGTTGTTTTGTTGAATAAACCATTTGAAGCGGCGTGGTTTGTGTAACAACAACAATTGACTTGCCGTTGTAACTTTGAAGCACGCGACCATCCTCGGGGATTTTCTCGAAGTGCCGCTTCTTGAGAAAACTCTCTCCTTTAAATCTCGGGGGAGACCAGATTTTTCTGCAGTGCAACCATTCTTGGTTGTGTCCGCGCTTCCCCCGTAGCCTTGTACTAAAACCCAGATATGTTTAAAGATTTGAAATGGCATAGAGAGAGAGTGATGGGCGCCATAAGACCGGTCATTCTAGAGCGAGCGAGCTTCGCATTAGTAGAGAGCCCGATCTCCTTAAGGAAGCCATCCACCAGGGACCTACAAGCTCCAGCTTGTTGCCTGTGAGTTCTTCCAACACGGGATCAAGGTCTCTCATCCCTTAATTAGGTTTATTTCCTGCGAAACGAACCCTCCTCAACCATTCTTTCTCCGTAGAGAACTTCATCTCTACGGAGTTGGTATTCCAAAACCGATCTCCTCTCTCTGTTTCATCCTCCATGCCGAAGTGCCTTAAACAGTGTTTGTTTGATGTGCTCGCGCTGTCATTATTAGCCGCCATTTTTGAAGTAGCCTTTACTTTTCGTGCCAACTGCTGCTGAATAATAAGTTCTTATATAGCGCATTAAATCTACAATATCTTGAGAAATAAACCATCTATGCGCATGAATAATACAATTACAAATTAACAAAATTTCGATAAAAATCCTATACATGCAATTCGCTACTCTATCTAAACTAATGAATTATTACGTGTTATGCATATGTTTGACAACGTACGATATCAAATAATCTGGTGGCTTAATTTTTGAAAAGATAAGTTTTCAATAAGCGTTTAAAGGAGTCAACAGATTCGGCGTTTTTTATGCATTCAGGTAGTTGGTTCCACAAATACGGTGCTGCGTAGGAGAATGCTCTTTGCCCATACGTTTTAGTTCGAATTGTTGGGACCTCAAGTAGATTCATATTTGATGAACGGAGGTTTCGTGCTGGAATATATCGACTAAGAAGTTCAACAAGATAGGTTGGAGCCATGTCATTTAGTGCTTTGTATGTTATCAACAGTATCTTGAATTGAATTCGTTTTGTGACCGGGAGCCAATGAAGTTTCCTAAGTATAGGTGTTATACTGTCTCTTGATTTGGCACCGACTAACAAGCGGGCAGCTGTGTTTTGGATCCGTTGGAATTTTTCGATGTCACAAATCGGTAGACCGTACAATAGGCTATTACAATAATCAAGTCTCGATGAGATAAAGGCGTGTATCAATCTTTCATTTTGCTGCGTCGAGAGGTATTTACGAACGCGACCAATATTTCTGATTGCTAGAGACGACGATTTACAGATGGAATTTATATGCGAGCGTAAGTTCATCACAGAATCAAGCATGACGCCTAGGTCTCGGACAGTATTAGATAAATTAATGATATCATCTCCAATATTGATATTACAGAAAGGAGGATTTTTTGAGAAGCGTGAGAGGAAATGAATGATTTCTGTTTTTGAAGGGTTGCACTGCAATCTGTTTTTCTTGGCCCACTCCATGATTGCATTAACACATGATTTCAATCTTTCCATGCCTAGCATTCTGTCAGAGGAGTTTATCTTTATGTAAAGTTGCGAATCATCGGCATATATCATACAGTTTAGGCCATGTTCAGCAACAATGTCTTCTGTAGGCGAGGTATACATTAGAAAGAGTAGTGGACCAAGTACTGATCCCTGGGGTACGCCGTAGGAGATATGTCGAGGCTTAGAGATGGAGTGTTTGATCTTCACTGACTGAACACGATGTTCTAGGTATGATTTGAACCATTTTAGTGCGATACCTCTAAATCCGAAACGTTTCTCCATTCTTTCAAGTAATATGTTATGGTCGATCGTGTCGAACGCAGCGGAAAGGTCTAGCAAAACAAGTACTACTTCTTCTTTTTGATCTACAGCTCTTAGGATGTCATTTGAGACTTTTATTAAAGCAGTTTCAGTGGAGTAGTATTTGCGGTATGCTGACTGCATCGCTGGAAATAACTGGTTCTCGGCCATAAATCTGTATATTTGATTTGCGACCACCCTTTCGATTGTTTTTGAGAGAAAAGATAGATTTGCAATCGGTCTGTAATTTGAGAGACAGTTCGGGTCCAATGAAGGCTTCTTTAAAGATGGACATACCAGGGATTGTTTTAACTGATCAGGAAATTCTCCGTTAGCCATGGAGGCGTTGATAATCTTGGTTATAATTGGCGTCAAGTGTGGAATTGACTTTAGAATTCGTGTTGGAATGGGATCCAGTTGACAAGACTTAGTTGGAGATTGAACAATAAGTTTGTGAACAATATCAGCAGATACAGGTTGAAAAGTTTGGAACGACGAGGTGACTGGATAATTGACGTTGATGTCGGGTGCTTGGGCAGTATGGGAGTCCAAATCCGATCTTATTTTCTCAATTTTTTTGATAAAAAAATCGTTGAACGTTTCGGTCAATGTATCCAATGAATCATTATTAGGGAGTGCAGCAATGTTCTTCGATAAGAATAGGCGAGATACCATCTTGAATAGTTGTGATTGGTCAGAGGAGCTGATCAGAGTCCGATAATAGTTTGTCTTTGTCGCTGTTAGAAGATCATTGTAGTGTTTGCAGGAATCAATAAATATTTCTTGGTGAATTTGAAGACCAGATGAAATATATCTTCTTTCATGACGACGTTTGTCTTGTTTAGCCTTACGAAGTTCATCAGTATACCAAGGAGAATGCGGTCGCAGAGTGACCCATCTCTCGCTCACAGGAGCATGTTGATCAAAGATAGACGAGAGATTAGTATTATATTGTGTAGTCAGCTCAGTTACACAAGACTGTGGATTAGTAATGAGATTAGATTCTTCGATGTCTTTGATCATACTAGCTAAATCGAGCCTTTTGGTGTTTCTGTGTTTAACATGTAGTGTAGAAGGTTTCGGTTTTGTACATTTCACCTTACAAGTAACCAAATTATGATCTGAAATATTGTCGGCTGATAGAATGCGAACATCCGTTATAACATTATTCTCTTCACGAGATAATATCAAGTCCAATGTGTGGCCCAGGCGATGAGTGGATCCAGATACATTTTGAATTAGATCAGTGGACTCAAGGAGATTTAGAAAGGAGGCAGCTTCAGGATTTGATAGATCATCAACATGGTAGTTAAAATCACCGGCAATTATAATGGGCTGCCTTGATAATGTAAGTTCTTCAAGAAAAGATGAGAATTCTTGCAAAAAGCTATTTCTAGTGTTGTTCTTTTTGCACAGAGGAGGGCGATAGAGAACAATTAAACGGAATGTCTCACTTTTGTTGGATATGCTCACATCTAAGTACTCAAATGAGCTTGTGTTCATGATGGAATTTTGCAGTACGGTATAACCATCTCGTATCAACAAAGCGACTCCGCCGCCCTTACGATTCCTTCTTGGTATGTGGTGGAGTTTAAAATGCGGAAGAATGTTGTTGATGTCAGTAATAACATGGTTGTCATCCTCGGTTCCTTTAAGCCAAGTCTCTGTTATGGCCAGGATGTCTAAATGGTGGGAGATGACCAAATCGCATAAATGAGTTGATTTTTTAACAATCGAACGCACATTGAGGAGAGCAAAATTACTGGTGGATTTGGTTCTCGGTAGATGGCCAACGCGTGTGATAGAGATGACATTGTTGATGTTTCTTGAGTAAATTTTCTTTGATGGTCGTCGATGCGTAGAAACAATGGTTGGAATGTAATAACATTGAGAATCTTCGTTTTGAATAATTAAATCTTCCATCGGTTGAGAAATTGCTCCGAAGTCAAACTGCGACAACAAGAAACCCATTTCAGGACCAGGGTTAGAAGCAACGGTTCTCGGTAGATGGCCAACGCGTGTGATAGAGATGATATTGTTGATGTTTCTTGAGTAAATTTTCTTTGATGGTCGTCGATGTGCAGAAACAATGGTTGGAATGTAATAACATTGAGAATCTTCGTTTTGAATAATTAAATCTTCCTTCGGTTGAGAAATTGCTCCAAAGTCAAATTGTGACGACAAGAAACCCATTTCAGGACCAGGGTTAGAAGCAACGTCACCAGCCAAAGTAAGACGAGCTTGGTTGAAGGTGGTAGTTGAGTTAGCGTAGTATTTGACTTTGGATGTGTTGTAACCTTTAGGTCGTAGACAAACAAAGCGAGGCCGATTAGTTGTTGAATAACGAGGTAGTAATACAGCAGAAATCCACTTGTTAGGATACAAACAATGATTCTTGCAAATATAATCCAAAGAGGAAATGTTTAGGCAATCCATATGTCGTTTTTCAATTGAAATAATATAAAGAACTGTGAAAAAAATAAAGAAAATCAAGCAGCGATATGAAGCACGTCCGTTACCCATAAGTACAAGTAAAAGTTTGTAAGATTCTCCGATCGATTTACGCGAACGATCGACTAATAAACATGACACTGCTGTAAGATTTATCGATCGATCGAAGGAAAAGTTTGTAAAATTATTAGGATGTAACTCGAGCGAGCGGCTTGTAAAAAGTAACTTCACGCGAACAATCGACTTTATATAACAAACATAACACTGCTGTAAGATTTTAATATCGATGGATCGAAGGAAAAGTTTGTAAGATTATTACGATGTAACTCGATGTAACTTGAACGAGCGGCTTGTAAAAAGAAACTTCGCTTATGAAATAAAAGTTTGTAATCTATTCATCGATCGATTAACTTAAACGACTTATGGAATACAATGCGCGGATAACACAAACGTGTTAAAATTTTGCAATAAAATAGTACCCAAATCTCCTCGGCAGTTAGAGCACGTAAACGAGTCTACGTTTATTGAGTAAGCATGAAAAAAATTCATGGAAAAGAAACAATTAAGGATCTGTCTGAATTTCTCGGGTTAGCCATGAAGGACAATCGAATAAAATTACCCACGTAATAATCAATAAAGAATGTTATCAGCAGCCCGCGGGGAACTGGGTACTATAATCCTATCGCTATCGGTCGAGGCTCCAACTTTACGCTTGTTTTTGATTGCCCTTTCCTTTAGCTCTACTAAAGCACCTTTTGATATAAAAACACGAATGAAAGGCTAGTTAATGTTACACAACTTCATTGTAAGCATGCTTTACATCAAACTATTGAAATCGATCGGAGAATCTTTGATGTTGGGGCGACACAACCACGATGTTGGGGCGACACAACTCCGATGTTGGGGCGACGTAACTTCAGTTGGGGCGACATAATCTGGGGCGACAAGGCAATGGGGCGACACAACCTACATTCGCTCGATCAATTGTCGTCTTTAGTGATGCATGTCAGTGAATTCTAGAAAGCGAGGCAGATTCTGAGAATTCGTCCTTCAGGTGGAATAGATCCTAGGTTGCCAAATCCAATCTTTAACTGCGATTTTCCTTTTTTTTTTCGATGAATTCTAGAGAAACGGGGTAAATTTTGAGAATTCGGCCCGTAAGTGGCTAATACCCTAAGTTCCCATAAGCTATATTCACCCTAATTTTCCATTTGATCAATGAATGTTAGAAAAAAGAGGTAGATTCTTAGCATTCATGCTACAAGTGTCAAATACCCGAAGTTCCCATATGCTATCTTTACCCCGAATTTCCATTTTCTTTTTCAGTGCATTTGACAAAAAACGGGGTAAAATCTGAGAATTCATCGTTCAAATGGATTAGATCCCAAGTTGCCATATCCATTCTTCAACCCGATTTTCCTCTTTTTTTCAATGAATTCTAGAAAAACGAGATAAATTCTGCGAATTCATTCGCAAGTGGCTGACAAATTATGACAAATCCACCCAAGCGTGCAATAAATCCTACAATGATTTAGAAACAGTACTTGGAAAAAAAAAAAGGGAACAGCCAATATCAGCGGAACCGTAAGAAAATCACAATCTACTACGTCAATTTTTTTAACAGAAGGCTCGGTGCGATAGAGCAAAAACCCACAATATCCAAAATAAACAACTGAAGGAAGACTTCGTGACGCAGACAAATAATTAGAACTTTGATCTCTCAGCCAATCTCACCTTCAGCAGATAGGATAGATAGGATAGACGTTTATTAAGAATACCTTAATAGCAGCTGGAAGCTGAATTACAAAGGTGTACAAATTATATAATAGAACTATACAATAAAATACAATACAATACAATACAGCAGATCAGGTGAAGCGTCAAAAATACATAATTTTATGTCGACGAACCATAATCTATGATCTTCAACTATTAAAGAAAATAAAACAATTGTGATACGATGCCACACTGTGCTTTTGTCTTAGCTTGTGGGTAAAATGTTGTCATTGGGGTCACAAGTCGAGCAATGAAGATTGTAAATAAAGCAAGACTGCAAATAAAGCGTGAACAATGACGCATCCTTTGGTCGAAAGTCGCTTTGTTATCTACGCAGCAAGTTGTTCTTTCACGTTTAGGTTATAACGACGATTCGATAAAAAGGCGTTAACGAAGAAACGATAGAACTTCAAGGAAAGTAATGTGTGTGAGAGAGGCCAATGATCCGGTTCGCAATGACCATGCGGATAGCAAGTTTTCCTGAAATCAGTCGGAGGTTGCTCATCCGTTGTTATCAGAAAATACTGGTCAAATTTTCTACTCGTCCCGACCCCCTTGAATGAGTACTTTTGCTTGAAGACATAACTACAACGGAGTCTCTTGATCAGTCCCAAGCCGCGTGTCGCTCGATAGACGACAGGATATGATTGCCCACTGTATCAAATTACGTCAGAGGACACATCTACAATAAGGGGACATAAGTGCAACGGTACAAACGGTAGATTAAGCACCCGATGATTCGCTTATAATTAACCGCTTACATGCGGGTTTAATTAGCATCAAATAAACGCATATAAACGGTCAAAGTAGGGCCTATTTACTTATTGTGAGCCTGAGACGTATGGGATTAAATAAGCGCCCTGTGCGGCACCCTTCGCTGACCCCTTTGCTTATTTGCTTTCTTGTGGTTTTCATTACAGAACGAAACACTCATTCTGGACGACCTTTTTTACCTGACAACGATCACGTTACTCAGTCGGCTTTGTATCCCATCCTCCAGTCAGCCTATCGACTTGGTCATAGCACAGAGACTGCCCTATTGAAGATACAGAATGACATACTAGCTGCAATGGACAATCAACGAGTTACTCTTTTGGTATTACTAGACCTGAATGCAGCATTTGACACGATTGACCACCAAGTGTTGTTGAATCACCTGTGCGTGACGTATGGAATTACAGGTACCGCTCTTAAATGGTTTCACTCGTATTTATCAAACACAAAACAGCGAATCCTGATTAACGGGAGCTATTCGAGTGACTTTGATCTGCCTCAAGGGGTACCTCAAGGATCATGTCTTGGTCCCTTGCTCTTCACGTTGTACGCAAGTAAGCTCTTCGATGTTGTTGAATCCCATCTCCCTAACGTTCACTCATACGCTGATGATACGCAGCTCTATATCTCATTTAAGCCGGATGGTTCTGCTACTGAGACGGATGCTGTTGACGCTCTACAAGCTTGCATCAGGGACATAAGAACCTGGATGGTCCAAGACAAACTTCGGCTGAACGATGCTAAGACCGAGTTTCTTATTATAGGTACACACGCACAGTTAAATAAGGTTATGATAAGTGACTTGCAAGTAGGTAAGGTAAAGGTTTCTGCGGTTTACTCTGTTAGAAACCTGGGTGCTTGGTTTGATGCAAACATGAATATGACCACACATATTAACAGCATATGTCAGAATATTTATTACCATCTACATAACATCCGGCGTATTAGAAAGTATTTATCATATGATAATAGGAAGTCCATTGTACAGGCTATTATAATGTCACGATTAGACTATTGTAACGGTCTATTATATGGTACGCCCGCTGGTCATCTTGGTAAGCTGCAACGCCTGCAGAACGCGGGTGCTCAGCTGGTATGTACTATATCTAGGTATGATCCTATCACACCATCCCTGATCAACCTGCACTGGCTTCCGGTTACCCACAGAATAGAATTCAAGATAGCAATGCTAGTTCACAAATGTATCTACGGTGTCGCACCACAATATCTTTCAGACTTGATAAAAATCAAAGAGAGCTCGCGGTATCAGTTGAGATCATACCGGGGCATACTCCTAATGGACAATACCTATAGAACAAAAAAGACACTCGGGGATAGGGCGTTTGAAAATGCTGCGCCCAAAGTATGGAATCGACTCCCTCTAGAAATTAGACAATGTCAATCATTGAACATTTTTAAAGTTTTACTAAAGACACATCTTTTTAAATTAGCTTTTTATTAGTTCTTTTATTAACTCATATTTTACTTTTATTGTTTTCCGAAAATTGTAAATTATTATTATTATTATCATTATCTGGACTAGCCATTTATTACTTTAAGATTTTAGTGTTGTAATGCGCACTCGATCATATCTTTATCGCATGCTAGACTGCGCAATATAAGAAATAAACATTATTATTATTAGTAGTAGTATAATGTAAACGCAGTACGACACATATATTTCTATGAATCCTCTCTAGGAACGAGAGAAGCATAGAAAAAGACAGAAAAGGACATAAATACTTGCTTTTACAGGCTAAATTATCTTGCTTGTAAACGCGGTATAAAATTAATTTCGTTCCGGAACGAAACTTATTTGGAATTATGTAAAAGTAGGAGTAATGGGTTCCTGGTAAAAGTACCTTAGGGACGGATCATCAGATTTTTGAGGGGAGTAGGGACTGGGCACAAAAAGCTGACCTCCGCGCGCTTATAGCGCAGTATAATTAAGGCAAGAAAAACTTGGGTTAGTATATGAAGAGTAACAAATGGGTCAAAACGATTTCGTTATTTTCAAACACTAGTTATTGTGAAAGCCGATGTCATCGCAATTGTCAGTCTGTTTTCCTCTGTAAGATGAAAAACTATAGTTACAGGTGATTCTGGGAGGCTTCAATGTTATCAAGGTAGCATTCTATTTAAGTGAAAGCATAACGTCTTGATGAGAAATAATTTTGCACTTATTATTTCTATGCATATTCTCTATACTTTTCTCTACACATTTCCTAAGGTGCTGACAAGGAGAATTTCTTAAACAATTCAGAATTTCTCAAGCTGGGAATCATTTCCTTTATTGTGACCTTAATGTTTCATACAGGGATGATATTGTCAGCGGAAACTAAATGCTAGTCACTCTTACGGGTTAAAGGGTTAACGCATGCGACAGCGTTTTGCTGTTGTTACAGAATAAAGACTCGATTGTTTGTTCATAAAGCCGTTTCAGAGAACATTGAAAATGAAAAATCCCACGCAGCAAATGGTAAGGGGTTCTCGAATATTTTTTCCCACGGTTTGCAATAATGTTTGAAGGATAATTAACATGGTAGCCTCCTTTTTGCGTGAAAATATGCACGGATATTAGATCGTGGGCATTTTCTGAGAGACGAAGCTCGAGGAAAACTGTGAACTTCAAGGCTATTGCTAATTAACTTGCTATTGAAATACACTCTTTTACCGCTAAATAGATAAAGCTAGGTAATATTCCTACCTTTTGTCCAGAAAAAAAAATAAAATATCCGTTTCATAAGGGCCTTTGCCATCAATCTGTTAAAAAGAGCGGATAGACCTGTTAACAGAGCAAGAAAATATAAAGTAAAATAACACACTTCACTTTAAAACAAGGAAATATTTGGCTCTAAGTGGAGAGCGTAACACCTTCGTTGTTGCTAATCCGGAAAGGTTTGAAACGTTATGTGATTTTTTATTTATTTATTTTTTTCTGGCCAAATCTAACTTACAAATATACAGACGTCTGTATTTGTTTCGCTAATCATAAATCCCTGCGCGAGGTTTGGACTGGACCGTCTGTCTTTTGTTTTTGTTGTGATTTCGTTTTGTTGTTGGCAGGAATCAATAACGCTAAAGAGAAGACTTCGCACATTTATTGATATAACGGTGCTGATCACGTGTAATAGACTGAAGCGGTAAGGCAGTTTTCTTTTCTTTTTTATTTTTTTCAGCCAGAAAAGAAATGGCCTCGACAAAACCTCCTTCGCGGTAACGAATATCAGCTGATATTTGCTGCACTGTTCAATTTCCAAAGGCAAATCCTTGAGTATAGCTGCCGTTAATCTATTTGACAATTTTTCTTTTTCTTTGGTCGTAAACGATTCTTTAAATCTATGCTTTTGTCACGAGATTGTTTTCTTATCTTTAGTGCCCAGCAAGCCTCCTCAAAGGTTGGCTGCTGAAAGACTAAAAGCTGCAGAATTCATTCAGGTCACCCGGATTCGCAATAAGTAGAATCTAAGTGAGCTCTGTCAATATCCTCTTTGTCAACACTGAGGAATTTCTCCACCCAGTCTCTTTTAAGTCTATCATAAGCTGTATCAAAATTTTTGGCGAATGTGGCAGTGTTCGCCAATATCAAGGTGACTCTCTAGTTCACTGTATTTTTTAAAAACCATGTTGCAGCCTGGCTCAGAACCAGCGAAAAGACCATTCGATTTTCCACCATCACTATTTGTTGTTGTCTTATGGAGCCGAGCTGCCTTGAGCGGGAAGAAGTTCTCATTTACAACAAGTCCTGTAGGACCCTGAGGCTTAACGATGAAATCTTGGTAAGGAATCAGCCTACCCTGCCCAATACCATAAGCTCTCCATATTCGCATTCCTTCCCCCTCAAACTTGAAGTTGTGAAAGAAATTAAAAACAATCAAACGAACAAAGAAACAGACCGTTTCTAAAACACACCTTTGGGGTAGCACATGTTGCCCAGGTTCCTCAGGGTACAGTCAATCCTTTTTTTTTTGGGAAACGTATTTGGGGCTGTCCTGGTGTACCGGTACACGGGGGAATTCCTATTGTTTTCATATCCATACATGGAGTTGTGACGCAGTTAGTTAATGTTTCGTTCCTTTGTGTACTGGTACACGAGGATACAACCACGTATTTGCTCTGTATCTTTCCGCAGTCTGTGCAGATTATTAGTAATTCACATATTAACGATTTCTGTCAAATCGACACTGGATTTTGGAATTTTTAGACAGGAAAAATAGACAACAGGAATGTTAAAACTGGGATGGGGCACTGGGATCGGAACAAATTAAGGCTGGGAGAGAAAGATCCATACCCAACCATATCCATCTACTTCTCCCACCTATTCCCACCGCCCCCTCTTTTCGGGGGCCTCTAAATAACAACCCAGTTTCCCCTCTTGGAACGCTTCAGCAACAGTGAAAACCTCTGTTTCTTTTCTCGCTTTATGCTAACTCCCAATATAAGCTAAAGTAATATGTGTTATGGACTCACTCCCTTGTAAAATGTCCTGACGGATACAAAGTGATTAGATTGACAACAGTACGTAATGAGAGTGAAACCCAGCGAAATCTACGTTTTAATTTGTCTGTAACGACTAAAACCAAGCCTTACCATAAGCGTTTCTCTTCTCGGATTACCAGATTAGCTAAAACGACTTGAAAATTAATTAATTTTTACTTGCGCGAACCAACAGGCATAGTGTCTCCCATGATATTTTTTATTTCTCTTGTTGTATTGAAATTAGCATCATGTGTTCCAAAAATCGCCGATTTTTTTCTTCATGTCTGGGATCTTGGCAAGTTTTCGGCGCTTGCCAGTACTTTCCTAGCCCATGACGATGAGCTGGAAAAACCGTCATTTTTTTCTATCCGCTCCTCAGTGATCTCCAACAAACCAACCCTTGCTGATATTAGGTCCTTTTCAGACACACTTTCCCTGAAAAGGTGGTTTTAATTAGATGCACATTGATATCAGAATTACAACACTTAAAGATACTAAATCTGTACCTCCTGGACTACTTTCACATTTGCCTCCCGAAATGCTTGGAAACGAACACGACGCGGCCCTTCTTCAAAGCAGCTAATGCGAATCTTCTCCATGAGAACTTTCAATTATACCCGTCGCAATGTAAATATTTTCGACGTGTTGAGTATAAAATTTGCATGTTACATTATTTGAAGTAAGCTCAATTAACATAAAAGCTTACAAACGGACACAAAAAAAACGAAAAAAGAAAAAGAATAAGACATATCTTCAATGGAGTTACACTTTCGGTGCATAGTAAGGTAATGTAAGTTGATTAATTGCAGTAAAAAAGGTAATTTATCACTCTTATCGTTCACCATTTATTTCGACCATTCATTCATTTCGATGTGGTTAAAAATGAATCCGTGACATACCAGCGTGACACATGACTGAAATCAGCATTATCGTAGCTCAGGTAAATGTGTAGTTGTCTTCATTATTACACCTTTTACATGAGCGTTTCTAAATCTGTAAATAACGACATTTTAATTTTTTTTACAGCACAAGATGGTCAGGACTAACTAGATGGAATTTTGTCAACTTGTTTTTTACAGTCCGCCTGAGACAGTTTAGCATAATGTTACGCTGAAGACGTTCCTTTCTAACTTCGTAATTCATAATTTTCAGGCACGTTTTGATGAATTTATTGATTTGTCGCCTTAAAAATAAAGCTGAGCTAGTTTTCAAAATAGACACTTCTTCAGATATTGATTTTGAACGAGAAAGGAAGTCACCACAAATATGCATAAGTTAAGCCATGCGTACTTTGACCATGGAATGTTACCAAAGTTCATCGAGCTCCTGCAGGTGGAAAATACCAGTCCCCAAAAATGTTTCTCTTGGTTTTGAAACACTAGTCCAAGTGCTAAACACGGATAGTGGTCAGGACTCCAGATTCCATTATCCTTTTGAGAAAGGCTTCTTGGAACTACAGCACGCTTGCTTAAATTTGAAATGGGCTGTCTGTGTGGTATTTTTGTTACATCGTAACTCTCAGTTATTGAGTCAGATTTTAGATATTTTGCCATCAATCAATAGAAGCGACGTAAAATTATACAACGTGTCCCTTTTTTGTCATTTGATAAGATGCGTCAAGTTTTAGAACCCTCAGCGAAAAGCTTAAAATTGACTCTGAAATGAACAATTTTCCTTGTCCTGGACCGTCCTTGCATATCATCGCTAAATTTTGGCGAAATAGCACTGCGAACCAATTAAATCTGATCTTTGCCTATAGAATAGGGTAATCATCTCACTGTGAAAATTTCAAAGAATCCTGTGATCCGCCGAAATTTGAGTGGTCGGTTCTTTCGCGGACAGCCTCTTAAACTCTTTGCGGTGGTCAATTTACGTTTTCAACTCTGTAGTTAACACTAAATTACCCTTTTATACTCACCCACCAGCGCCACACTTTCTATTGAAAATTACCCCCTTTATTCGTTTCACAATGAGCTGTATTTTTCAAGCAACTCCAAATAAGATAAATTAAAACGTTTCTTTCCGAGCGAGAGATCATTGTAGGAGCCACTGAGACGCAATCAATAAATAAACACTGCGAGGTTTGTGATAGTGATGGTGACAGGACAAGCTCTGCTTGCCGATAGGTTCCTTCGCGCATACCTCACATGAAAATTTCGTAGGAATCTGTAGTTGTTTTTTTCCCGTGTAATGCTATACATCAGTCAGAGTCATAAGTGGCGCAAGCACGACTTGAGGACCAAGCGAAGTATGACCCCCTTTATTTGACAGAAAGAAAACAATGGCAGATGGCAAAAATAACAGTTCCCCTCTGGGACTAATGCTTTTTTAAAAGCAGTTTGCAGTTTATCGGAAACCATTTTTTTTTCAAGTCGAAGTGGGCAATTAAAGTTAACTGTGTTGCATTAATGTGCATTATGTTGCGTTTCTCTTCGTTATGCGACTCTGTTAACGGTGGATCATATTTTTGAACACCTGCCACGAGTGAATAGAGCACGTTTTGTTGCGTGGTCGCTCAAGGATGTTGACGTTTCTTTAATTAAAAAGCTTATAGCTTGTTTAAATTAGCTGATATTCTCTAAATTACAAACACATCTTCGAGTGTGCTCCTTAAGATAATTTGCCCACTGAAACGACTGCGCTCAAGATTAAGAGAGAAATAGAAAAATAGTATCCCAGTTGTCCTCTGCAAAACAGCAAAGTAAGATCATCTCATTTTTCTTGTTAAGGTATTGTTTTATTGATTAGTTTTTCCTTTAAACTCCAAAAATTGAAATAGTTCAGTGACGTCATTGCTCCAACTTCCTTTTTCGACCAATCACTTAAGTCTCACAACTTCGATATATGCCCAAACATTGGCCAATCAAAAGCGTTTCTCGTTTCCACAGAGACATCAGGTTGACATTGCAAAATAAGCCGGAGGAGACTAAAAGTACGCCACTCACATCCTTGATTCAGAGTCGTCTAAATTGAAATGCTGGATTATTCCTAATGAAGAAATTCTGAGAGTAATTTCTTTTCCATTGACTTACTCAAATTTGAGACCATTCGCCTTTACTGAGATGGTAAGTTTTAATTTTAAACAATGCACCAATGTTTACGGATTTAATTTTTTTCCACAGAATTTTATTTTTTCCTGGCAATACATGGTTATTGTTTTCCTTTCCATATTTGCCTTGTACTTCTCGTAGAAACAAAACCATTGAAATTTATAGCGTCCTTAAGATGTGGTGTGAAATTGCATAGCCCGACTGTTTAATAATGACATATGCTCCTGCTAAGAGTAAGGAGAGTGGGGGAGGGGGCAGTGAGTAAACCTTGAAAGGATAAAGTATGGTAATTCTTTTGGTTATTTCAAAGATTAAGGAACTTATTTTCAAAATTTGTGGCGAGTGACTCAAAAATTCATGATCTGTTGTTCTGTTCAGTGGCTACGTAAGTTAAAATCTACCTCCTGCGGAGATTTTGTTATGTTATTTTTGCTAAAAAATTACAATAACAAGTTTCATGCAAGAATAAATGTCATAGCTCAACGACAAAAATGTAGCAAAAAAATTTGAAGGAAACAAAAGTTTCAAAGTTAAAGATGATAGCTGCGATAGCAAACAATTTCGTGGCAGTAGCGCGACAAGAATAATATTAAGCAAAATTAGGTTTATTCGTGATAAATTATTTACCTTGAGCGGAAGCTCTTCGCATGGAACACCGTTTTAATCATAGATGTCATGAAGAGCTGTTTTCTAAAAATTACTCTGTTTTCATCATTTAACAAAGACACTTATCTCTTCCGCATGGTTCCTTTAAATACTCTAAATAAAACCCAATTGCGTGTGAAACCTATCCGCGTATGTGTCATCACATGTTGTGTTCGGCGCATTAAGTTTGCCTGAACGGACACTAATACTGTGTTTATTTCTCAACAGTTTTTCCTGATCCTAGTTTTCATTCTTTGCCAAGTACAAGCTAAAGGTATTTGATGAATTTTCCTCGCAAGTTTAAAATTCCGAGGATTTACCCTTAAAGTTATGTTATGGTCAATTTTTTCGATGAAATCTATTTCTTGGGGATAAAGTTACGATCAAGATCTGTGCCTTTGAGCTATTGTATAACAGAAACGTCAATGGACCTTTATAGCTTATTGCAGACAAACGAATTAAGCGAAATTTTTAAAGCTCTTCCTAAACTTCTTATTAAAAAAAAAATTCCAAAGTTCAAAATGCCGCTATTCTTTACTAACTTGTTTTGTAATCTTTTTTTTTTTAACATAAACAATTGGGCACCCATTGTTATTCCTTGTCAATATTTTTCAGCAATGTTTTAAGATATAATTCAAAATAGCACCTGCCTTATTCCATATATTTTCATTATCTCCTGGATTTAAGGTTTTTGTAAGGAGAGAAATGTCTGACTTCATTAGAAGAGCAAATTCAATCCATCTCAACAGTAAAATTGGATGTTTTGCAACAGTTCATGGAAGCTGTAAATGCACCGGGTGCATGTATGACATTTCCTAAGAATCGTCTCTTTTTTCCAGGGGCCCTCATTTTTCGAAAAGGGGTAATAGAGCGTTTAGACTACTTAAATAAACAAAATATACCTAAAGTTCATACGTCCCTAAATTAACCAACAGATCTATGGTCATCCTGTAAAGATGGTGCTACCTGCTACAGATCCAGCCAATCTGGATCAGTCTGCTACTGCTATTTAGGATATACTACAATCGAGAGTAATGGAAGCGCAAGTGAGTTATTCAAATGACAAAAATTAAGTGCGTTCGATAAAGCTCAGGAATGGAATTGTTTTGTTTCGGCGTAACAAAATCGCAAGTACAGTTAACGTACAAACATCGAATGGTCGCTTGGCTTGCAGTTCCGATGTGTAGCATCTCACATAATTTACCAAATGGTCACAATTCCCCACATGTCTCCCCCTGCCACCCATCTCAAGCTAGTCAACCTGTAGTAAAAATTCTCTTTGAGAGACTCTTGGGTAATTTGAGGTAATGTGGAACAAGATGAACAGTCAATTCTTGTAATGTGGTTTAAATTCGCGTGAGGTTCTACGTAGAGTGAAGTGAGATAATATGTTTATATTCTCAGTATTCCGGTGACGCGATCTTTCTTATTTCAAAATTTTAAGTTGATGTGATAACCTGAGGTAATGATATGTCTTGTAAATTTTAGGTGATTAATAACACACATGACAAAAAAATATGCGTTTTTTGATTGGCTGAAAACGAGAAATTTTTTCTCCTTACTTACTTTGATGCTTTTTTCATGTTAATTGTTAATAACTAATAACATCATTTCCCGTGGTGGCGGCTAAAATTCATTTCCTTCCCTGCTCATGGGAAAATCTTATAGCAATGAGGGTGGAGATCTATGGCTGCCCAGGTAACATTGCATCTTTTGCCTTCGTTCAAATAAAAAAGAGGAGGATAAAATCACGGCTGAAGAATGTTCAAGTGCGTGGTGGTTATCTTGAATACCTACGTCATTATTTTTTTTATAGCACTGCACACTTCGTTTTCGCCTCTTGCCATTTTTATGCACAAATGGCAACATATGTCCATGCCAAAGCAACTTGAAAACTACACCTGCACTTCGCTCTCAGAAAACTTGAAAATGTTCTAGCAGACCGTTTCATGAAACCTTACCTTTATGCCCAGGGGGCCTCATTCTCGTTCATTTGTCCATTCATCAATTTGTTCACTCACCCATTCATTGATTTATTCATTTATTTTCATTCATTCATTTCTCTGGTCCAATCGCTGGTTAGTTCTTTTATCTTCTTTTTGTTCTATTCTGTTTGATCGTTCCTTTTTTTCGTGTCCATCGGAAACGGACTTGCAAAGAGGAGCGTAGTCCACAATAGAGCTTTGAATCGTTTATAGATCCGTGCTCAAAGAATCCTTGCAAGAATGGTGGAACTTATAACAGCAGTTCTGAGGACTTCAAATGCAGATGTCGCTGGGGATTCTCTGGAAATGGTTGTTCCATTGAGGGTAATGTAGAGTTCACGATCCGTTTCCACAATCATTAATTAAATGTGCAATGGAAGTTCTTCACACATGAATGTTATAACTATTAACGTAGGGTTTTAATTTTCAATTTGGTTTGATTTTACGTATATTGCAGAGTGCCATAGACCTCTGGGTATACAGAGCGGTAAAATCGAAGATTGGCAGATCACTATACGACCCTTTCGTAATGACAGATATGAGCTCAGACCTTGGAGACTGGTGCTTGAAGCGACAGGAGGAAGGGAGGAAGCTTGGAAACCCTACTGGAGCTATAGAGGTCTATGGTTTCAGGTCTACCTCCATGATGAATACACATGGGTAACTAGGATAGCGACACAAGGAAGTGTGACGAAATACAAGCTGCTTTATTGGGGATACAGAGTTCGGACTAGGTGGTACAGGGAAATAGGACAAAGATATGCAAAGGTGAAGAACATAGTGTGAATCATGCTGTTAAACTAAAAAAACAGATTCTTTGTCGTGCACCCGACCCAAAACATGCCTAAAATATTTCCAGAGAATCTGTGCAGACCCATAGGTCTGTTGGAACGGAAGGGGGGAGGGGGGAGGGGGGCATGAAAGTTACCGACCTGAGGTACATTACTTCCAGTTTTTGCTGATATATGACTTCCAGAGTAGCGAGCATGTCAGGTTTTTCATTCTCTTAGAACAAAGGCGAATACCTCGTAAGTATTTCAGCCATTAGATAAGCTCGGCTTTTTAAGGTCAGAAGCTTAGTGACCATGACATCTTTCTTTTTTTCTAGGAATTCTTTGGAAATAAACACGAAAACACTGTTGTTCATAACATTTTTGAGACACCCATCAGAGCTAGCGTCTTCCGTATCTATCCATTGACTTGGAGAAGAACGATAGAGATGAGGCTGGAGCTTTATGGTTGTAAAGGTACTGCGGATGTAGACACTTAAAAGAGTAGTGAATTTAAATGAAGGGTAGAGAAAAGGTGGTACTTTTGTTATTATCTAGTTTGATGTCGCTGAATTTTGTTTCTTTTTTTCGCGGTTGGCTGATCGTAAGAGACACGGTGATCTTACTGTTTAAAGGACAACGCCTATTTTTTGTCAGTCAGAAATATGTTAGTCTCGAAACTACTTCAGGACAGCATTACTTATTTCAATAATTATGTCCTGTAATTGCTTTTGAAAACTCGAGCCATATTCTCGATAAGAACCAAAACCACCCGGCCATTCAGGAAATTTTATTGATTTGTTTCCTTGTGGTATTTTTCTTTGTTCTTATTAGCCGGGGTGCCGTATCACTAATTTTGAGGCCTTGATTCCTATTTTTTTTCCTTATTTTTTTCTTTCGATTGACTTCCCCAGACGTATGTTTGTACAAGCCATGTAAGAATGGAGGCACATGCGTTTCTGATTATATCAACGGGAACTACACATGCTTTTGTCCTGATAGATTCTACGGTGATACCTGCAGATTAGGTAAATGAGCTTAGTTTTTCTTTTTTTTCATTAGTGTTCGATATGCACCATAATATTTATAGATATGAAGTCGTAATTAATGTTTGTGAATGGATTGGGTAGAATCCAATTTGGTCTGAAATTAAACATGTACACTTTCTTAAAAGAACCGGGCGGCCGTGAAGTGGGAATCCGATTTGTTCATCAACAATACGGATAGCGACAAAATTGGGTGACACAATGTCTTCTTATCAATGAAATAAAACTATGAAAAAAATTGAAATAGAAAATTCACGTCAGTTAGGTTGTTTTTAAAGATGAAAGCAACAGTCAAGAGAAGAGAAACCAATCGGCTATACAACAGCGCTCCGCCTACAGGTTGTACTGCCGAATTAAACAGGCAAGACGCCTACACTATCCTGCTAGTACCCAAATCGCACTGCCGGTTACCATCACGTTCAATACTTTTCTCATGGCTTTAAGACGGAAATTTCACTTCGCGAAATGAACATAAAAGTAGCAGATGGTAGTTGTGCGAAGGTGCGTGTCAATTTGAAAAAAATGCAAACGTTGCAAGGTTGATATCAAAACCCGATTTCTTCTTTTCTTGTTAAAAAGCAAATAATTCATGACTCCATAACGAATCCTATTCGCCATTGTCTCTTCCATTACTTGTATTTAATTTAACCATTTAACTAACAGTTGGAATTTGTCTACAGGTGACTTATGCAAGCTTAGTAATCCTTGCTTAAATGGAGGTAACTGCTCAGCAGTAAGATCCTGGCCTTATTTCAAATGCACATGTCCTTTCAATTACACCGGTTTCGACTGTGGATTCGGGATAGGTAATGTAAATCTCCCCATGTATAGTCCAGACAGGTGGAAAGCACAAAGAAAAATAAACAGTAACTACAGTGGTAAAGGGTAAAAACGGACCCACAAGCAAAAAACGATCAAACAAAACAGATGCAAAAGAAAGGTTGTTAAAAATTATGCAAAATGATTGCGTTTGAATTGTGCATCACTTTTTGTAGAGCGATATTATGAGGTTATCCTGGTATTGAGCAATTTTCAATTTTGTATCGACAGTGATCCATGCGTGTGGGTTTTTTCTTTACCTCGCTCTGTGGTTGGTGTAGAAAACTCGCGCTATAACCTCAACCAATAAAGTCCTCAAAGCCATCTCAACTTAGTTTCCTTCCCCCCCCCCTCCCCTTCACCTTACTCTTATCTTTCCCACACTTTCAGAGGTTGCCTGTTCTTAAAATAAGGTCTCCTTGCTTTATGATTATACTCAATATTACAACTGCTCCACATGTAAATCCGGCGATCCTCTTTTCTTTTTACAGGTGATCCATGCAATAATAGCTTTTGTCTTCACAATGGTGCTTGTGAGCGTATAGAGTCCTGGCCGTACAGTCGATGTGATTGTACTTCTGGATACGATGGTTTTAATTGTGGAACCCACATAGGTATGAAACATCATAAAACCTCAATTTACAATGGTGGGTGCAATACAATGTGTTTAGTTCAGTAACACCCCTACCCCACCAATACCTTTCACCACTTTGGTGAAATACCATTGATCTAGCAGGGGTTCCTAACAAGCTATTTACTCGTAGCATTTCTGGACTGACCAGAATTCTGTATAATGTGGACTTGAAACAATACTCTCAGTCCCTTGCTCAGGCAGGAACAAAGAGAGAGTGCAAACGTCTTAGTTCATCAAGCTTACAGGGTGATGGACAGTCGGAAAAAAAACATTTCCTGAGCGTAAACTGATAAAGAGCTAATCATTGTTTTGCTAGAACAAGCTATGAAATTCTTGACTAAATTTCTTAGCATATCTTCAGCAGTTATTCCATCACCAAAAATAGTTGTTTTTGCAACTTCCTCTACCCAAACCATCAGAACACACGACCTTACTATCAAAATCACGTGTCCATTTTTTTCACAAGCGACCCCTGCTCTAGCACTTCCTGTCCATCGGGTTGGACTTGTACGCCCGGAGATGGGTCCAAAGATTTTCATTGTGATTGTAAATTAGACAAATGCTCTTCTATAGTAGGTAAATTATTCCAATATTAACCTCGGAGGGCTTTTAGTGGAAGAGTTCTCTAGACACATTAATTTCTCTGAGCAATATTTGTGTCGTGGCATTTCTATTGCATTTATTTTTTTCGCATCCTTCTTTCCTATTACGACAGACACTTCACATGTAGTTGTCCTGCAGGATTCTTTGGCAATCGCTGTCAACATAAACGAGGAAATCTGAAAAATACCGGAGACCTCTAGATTTAAAGCAATGAACATATACGAATTTAAGTTTTCAGCGAATAGACGTCTCTTTTGCAGTCAATTTTTTGGGAATCCTTCTTTGCTGTTACTTTCCTATTAGTGTATCACCGAATAGTCAAAGGAAGATGTGTCTAATTCAACAACAAATTTTAAAAAAAACCGCTTGTTGCACAAAAATCATAATGTGAGTACATCGTGGCTGATCGTGGAGTTTCCAACCCCTCTGTGTCTCAGACTGAGAGGTATTCATTGAAACAGAGCTATGTTTGAGTGACTAACAGGACAAAAAATATACCGAATTCGTACTTCCATTGGAAGATGATTCAAATTTAAAATAAAACTATTACTTTGAATACAGACAAGGTAATCTGAATATCGGAGACTTTTATATTTAAAGCAATTAATATATACGAATTTAAGTTTTCAGCGAATAAACTACTATCAGGTGATCAAAATTTTTTCAAATTAAAATGATTTTTCCGCGCGATAGACTTTGCAACGTTATCACAGCTAAGGTTATCACATAAAAAAGGTAAACATCTTACGAGGAAGGACTGTGCATGTAAAGGATCTCGCGTGTGGGGGACGGTGTTGTTCAAATCCACATCTGCAAATTGCTTTTGCATCCTACTGACTTAAAACGTGATGCAGTTTTTTCTATGAAACGAACAAAATCCGGTGGCGTAATTAACTTTGATTATAATTCCACTAGGCTCTCTTCTAGTTGTATACGATACCCAAAAGAACACTCTTGACTATGGGACAGTTTAGACCTCAATAATCCTAGTAAGAGATTCAGTTAAAATCTCTTGATCGAAGTATTGGCAACCGTGTCTGATTTTTACTTAAGGAGGCTCTATAGGGCTTTTGCTCAATGTTGGAGCGCGCGCTAGCGTTTCGTTTTTCTAGAAATTTTTTTTAGGTTTTTCAAGCTCACTAAAAGCTATCAAAAGGCAATAAGCAAGATTCGGACTATCATTTGCTGTATTAAATATTAATGAAATGATTTTCGTGACTAAGCCAAGGCTCCACGAAGGGTAACGCTCGCCAGTGACAATTTGGCTTTGCTTTTGATTTTCTTCGATTTGCTTTGGTGAGACCTCAAATTTTTCACTTTTTGTGAAATATGTCGTACGGATTATTCAAACGCTGAAAAAATAAGGGTTAGAAAGGCAGTGTATTCGCTATTTGTAGTTTTGTGGTTTCTTCCTCTGTCTCAAATTTGGTCCTTTAATTTTTTTTCAATTAACAGGCACTAGAAAGGGCACAAACATGTTTAACGGTCCAGAAAAATTTAGGAAATTCCACAGAACGAAACGCGATTACATTATTCGAAAGATCCCTATTTTCTTTATCGCAAAACACTGCGTAATGGAATAAAACTTCACCAAGATCTATATTTAAGCATGCGTAAACTTTTCAATCTGTCGGTATCTGTCACATTTTAGCAATCTTTCCCACCGTGTTTTCTTTACGGTTGGCCTCTTTTTCAGGTGTAGAGGGCCTAACAATATTACGTTTTCAGTGGCTGTAAGCCCTAGATTCCACCACGTAAAAACTTTTGGTATTGTGTTTAACTAAGTTGTTCATAACACCAGGGCGATTACATCGAGCTGTCATGTTTGTTTGCATGTTGACATTTTTAAAGCTTGCGCTATGTTCGCACCCAGATCTTGCGCGGTCAAAAAGCCCTATGGAACTTCCTTAATCTTGGAATTTGTTTAAAAGCCGTAAAAAAATAACTAATCTGATAAGATACTTTGTATCTTTACATCATAGCATTCAAAAGTTATGCTTTTTTTTTCAACAGTTGATGCGTGTTTCGCCAACCCTTGCCTGAATAATGGAACCTGTACACTAAATAATAACTCACTGGGTTTTGAATGTAGCTGCCCTTTAGGGTACATTGGATTTAATTGTGGCTTTCAAGCAGGTGACAAAGGTTTCTTAATTGATTAAATTATGTCCGCTGTTCTAGTTTGTATGATTCTATTCAGAGCAAGAGCTCAATCGATCAGTCAGTTGGTTACGTTTTATGGAATTTATTTTATTAAACTATTGGTCAGTCAGATTGTTTTTCTGTAAGTCAGTTACTTACTCACCCACTTACCCGCTCGTTCCATCACTATCTCATTCGCCCCTCCAGTCTTTCGGTCGGTTGGTTGGTCGGTCGGTCGGTCGGTCGGTCGGTCGGTCGGTCGGTCGGTCGGTCGGTCGGTCGGTCGGTCGGTCAATCAGTGAGTCATTCAGAGAGTCAATCAAACAGCATGTCATGCTATCAATATGTCAGTCGGTCATTAGTATGGCCAGATTGGTTGCTCAGACATTAATGGACTTACAACAAATTAATAAATCAATCAATCGATCTGTCAATTAATCCTTCACTTCACTTCACCAAACCTTTTATCTGTAAGGTTCCTTTTTCGAAAAAATCATAAATAACGTTGCAAATTGCTTTTCTTACACCATGTTTAAATAAAAAATAGAGGGCATTACAACTTGATAATTTGCGATTTACCCCTTGAAATATAGAGTTGTCGAAGTATATGGTCCGCAATTAAGTAGTGACATATTTCAACAGGCAATCCGTGTTCAAATAACTCTGAACCTTGCAAAAATGGCGGAAACTGTACGCAGGAGAGTAATATCCTGGGATACACATGCAAATGCACATCGGAGTATATTGGGTTTAACTGTGGCTTTATGAAAGGTGATGCATATTCTAAAAACATTTTATATCTTAAAGGATACCTCAACTAATGGAACACCTCGTTGTTGAATTATTGTAAAATATATTTTATAAAACGAATGTCTTAGCGCCAGAAAAATCGAAACAGATATGAACTGCTTTCAAATTGGAATTCTGTGTGTGTTGCCATGTTGAATCGTATGACGAGTCACGATTGCCACACTCATCCTGATGATCTCACTTGGACTTGATAATAATTTTGGGAATAATAGTAGCAACCGTATGAAGTAATATGAGTTAAGCTTTAGCCATTCGGCAAAATTCCATGACGTAGATCGCGATATTTTTCTTTAAGAAAGGAAAGTTGTCTTAAAATCTCATTTACCAATGGGCTCTCCTTATATATGTCAGTCCGTTTTGAATCCAACCTGTGTTAAGGCAAGAACTTCAAAACCGCTCCACGCGCAATTTAACCAGTTGGTCCTGCCATTTCTTCTTCACTAACGCTGTGTTTTTACGTCTTCACAGACGATCCTTGTTTTCCTAACCCTTGTCGAAACGGTGGAAATTGCTTTAGGGAAGATGGTCTGAAGGATTTCATTTGCAATTGCACCTTTGGATTTATTGGTAAAAGATGTGAGAGCGAGATTGGTAAGTTTGTCTAAGATGTACTTGTACCACTGCGGTGTTAATTATCATTTGGCCCGTAACTAGCATTGACGATAAGACTGACTGGAATCGTGCCAATTTGGTCCAATTTAATCAAAGTCAAGATTAACAAAATCGGACGACCACGAAACAGGAGTCCGCTTTTGTTAATCACGAGTATGATTACAGAAAAAGGTTCTAGGACACGAATTCCGTTTATTAAACGATCAAAACCATTAAAAAAAAACATTTGACAAACAAAGCAAAGCATATAACTCAGCGAAATGAATATTTTGATTTGAACCATGAGTGATTTTGAATTGAAAGGGCACGTAGTCTGATTTTCAAACCAAACGCATGATTTTACACAAAAATTGTATAACACGAAGATCAATTAACACTTTATAAAATCCATTTTGAAATCTCAGGATTCAATTGCTCATATACAGGATTTTTTGTTTCGTATAAATAATTATTGATCCAGTACTGACCTGCTTTATAAAAATTTTCCTAAATTTTTCGGCTTTTTGATTTGGTACTTTACACAAGCCTTGAAATCTAATTGATTGTTGAGATTTAGTAAAGTTTTCTTTAGGTGAAAAAGATGTGATTTAAAGCAAAGTCGATTTGACGAGAACCCATCAGGTTGCAAGGATCACCTGTATTTTAAAATGGCCCTAATATAGGCTTTAACTGTGTCAATAAAATGCTCGAACATCGATGGAAATAAAAACACCTTATTCGTGGCTTAATTCACTGTCTCAGGTTCAAACAATTAAATTTTCACCTCTACGATTAAAAAAGACGTGATCGGACAGGCCGAGCGGAACCAATTGTAATATACATGTAGCACCTTTCATGGGTGATCAATGTAAACCCTAACATCAGTATGCAAATCCTCCACAATGTTCTCTACGCATTTCTTACAGTCATAAACATGTGTGATCCAGTGGTAAGACTCTAATTAGAAATTACAAGCTAGTCACTCTTGGTGGTTAAGAGGTTAAGGGCTTTTAAGTCATTTAGTCAACTACACTTCCACAATTGGTGAAACTCTTATGAATTAGAAGATGCGAGGATGGAAGGAGAGATATCGTCAATTTGCCTTTAACATCATACTTTTTACTTATGTAGTTCATGGGAATTGGAGTCACTGGACACCATGGCCGAACTGTAACAAGCCGTGTAATAACGGAACACGAACAAGGAGGCGTGCATGTGATAACCCTAGGCCAGCTTTTGGTGGAAAAAGATGCGAAGGGTTAACCTTTGAGTCTGAACGCTGTAACCAAGAAAAGTGTCCAGGTAGAAGATTTCTCAATCTTTTCTTTTTCTTAGCATGTTAAGTGTTGCTCCCAGAAGCTCAAAGGTCAAACGAGTTGACGAGAAAGTGAATGAAGGTCACTTGTCATCCTAGATTAGAATCCTTTTTCAGCCAAAGTTTCCCTCGAGAGGGCAATTTTGTATCTGTTTTAGTGGCATGTAAGGTTCAGCTGTATTGGTTTCGGTGGTGAGTGTTTCTTTCAACCAATCTAGTTTGAACAGGCGGCCCTACAGCATCAGATATTCATTAAATGTGGAGAACAAAAAAAAACATCTTCTGCTCACTTCTCTTCTCTTTTCAGCCGAGAATGTAAAATACCAGGTTAAGTTAAGAGGTGAAACATGGGAATATTCTCTTGCGGAGCTAGGAAGTACAAAATACGCGGAACTTGCGGATAGAATCAAAAAAGCTGTAAATATATCATTTTTATTATTTCTTTTCGTAATGTTTTGATTTTTCAAATAAGTTGAATTTAATTTTGTTAGCTTTTGATTATATATGGCCCGCCAAAACTGTCTATATTATTTTCTCCTTTAGGTTGAGGACTTTTACCACAAGAGGGATGAAAATGTTAAAGTTGACAAGCTAAAGTTCAAGTAAATCCTTTCTTTTAGATTGATAGTCTATTTTCATCTTTCACAGCAGTGCAATTAATCTCACAATGAATTTAAATGCACGTTGTTTAGGATCGTCAGAATCCATATTTAAAAAGGTTTGACTTTGCATATCTTTAATCGAATCCATCATTTGTTATAGGAAAGGAAGTGTAATTTGTAGTTTTAACGTCACCTACGAGAGCATAGACTCGCTACAGATCGTCTCTTTCCTGGAGGAAATAGCAGGAGGATTACTGGGAGATATTCCAGTTGCGTTAGACAAGATCGAAACCAGTAACGGTATGCATAACAAAGTTTGTCAGCCAGAGTGATTAACAATTATTTGTGTCTGTGATAATGAACGACGCGTGCTTAGATTTAGCGCGCATTTATTAGGGCTTAAGCTACCTGTTCAGTGATGACGTCTGCGATTTGTTACTGAACCATGGCAAAATGGAATTTACGTGTATAATATAATAAGGAAGCTAAAAATTGTTAATGGGGAAGTCATGTATGCGTCTGTCCTCTAATAAATCACGAGAACCAATCGAAATATATGTTTATTTCACCTGATCATATAATTCTTGTTTTTATTTTCTCTCCCAGTACCCCAACAAGCTCCTGTGGATTTGAAAGCCAATAGCTCCAAATCGACGAGTATTGTCATAAAGTGGAGGCAAAATCATTCCTTCCCAACTCTGGGTAATATGATTGTCTACAAAGAAGCTAACAAAAAGTTCAAGACTAACACCACGAAGTCAGTTCCACTCAATGCATCTGAAGCGATGCTGGAGGATTTGAAAAAATTCACAAATTATACCATCCGTGTGTTTGCCTTTTCAAGTAATGGTAATGGGGTGCCAAGTGATGCTGTCACTGTAAGAACTCAAGAAGATGGTAAGTTCAGAAAGATAAGACTATAAAGCACTTTAACATTTCTTTAAGATATTTTTTTAATTAATGGATTTGATATCTGATAGAGACTAAGAGATCTGCGAATGCGGCTATAGTTTGTTGAGGGTAGCTATTCCTTTTGTTTTTGTTCTCTTGGGTTGGTACACTATGATAGACCAACCATTGAAGGGTGTTGCGGACAAGAAAACTGGAGCACACCATGACTTGGGTTGATATTGTAAAATGGCCACTGCAAAGAGTTTGAAAATTGACGTTTCGACTGTCAGCTGTTCTTCAATGTGCTCTGACGAAGGGCTAACGATCAAAATTTCCGCTTTTATACTCTTCATGGTGGCCAATTTTCGTTATTAACTCAGTTGATAATACTTTATTACCCTGTTATACTCTCCCACCAACGCAGCACCACAGTTTCTTTGGAAACTTACCCTCTTCATTCACAGCATGACTTGCGATAAAGGTTAGAGCATTGAGATTCTAGACCTTTTTTTAATAAATGTGTAAGAACAGAGTTATGATTTGGAGGAAACCATAAATTACTAGTCTCGTAAGGAAGGGAAACAGAAGTCTGGATACCTCATGATGAAAAAAGATTGGAAATAACGACACCCAAAAAGCTTAGGATATCCTTTTTGAGGTACAGGGACTGTGATAGACTCTTTAAATGATTTAGAATAGTCGAAAGTAGTAGTTCCATTGTAATCAATGTGGTATAGTCAATACAGTACAAAAGGTAATTATATTTCAAAGTTATAATGATATGTGTTTAAAATACCATATTTTTTAAACATGAAATACAAATTGTTTGCAGCGGTGGAAGAAGCCGTAGCCAAAGTTTGTTGGGGGGAGGGGCTTGTTTTGGCTTCTTTACGTTATCATGTATCTATTGTGTCCTAGTGCCAAGTGAGCCACCCCCTGACATTGTTGTCAAATCAACAAGTTCAAGTACAATTCATGTGTCCTGGGGGCCGATCAGCCAAGCTTTCGTACACGGGATACTTATGGGGTACGAAGTTAGTTACACAAAGGATGACGAGTCATCAGCATGGGACAACAAGACACTTGATGCCAACGCACATGAAACAGTTTTAAGTGACCTGGAATATTTCACTCCGTACAAAGTTGTGATCTGCGCGAGAACATCTCAAGGATGTGGAAAAAATGTCTCTCGCAATGCAACCACATTTGGTGATGGTGAGTTGAAGATTTTTTGATAGAAAATGATCTAGCTACGAATCTATTCTCAATCTCTTGAGACTTTCAATCTCTCTTTAAAACGTTCGGTAGCCGGCGGAAACCTTTCGACCAAATTGGGGTTTATTTAGGTTACTTAAAGAAAAGAAGGTCACGGGGCCCAGCAAAAACTGTATTTATCTTATGGCCGACATACAGTCGGTGTGCGATGATCATTTACATTACTAAGAAAATCACTCATCTATGTATGTATCTTTCCATGCACTCTCGTGAGAGAAAACTCCCCAAGGGGCTTTTCACTCATTTAATCGCTTGCTAATCATCGTTTTTCTCTGGGTAGAAATTTTCAATTATTGTACTAACATGTTTTGCTTTTGCCTTTACTCTAGTACCCAGTAAGCCTCCACAAAACGTGACAGCTGAGAGATTAAAGGCTGCAGAATCCATCAACGTCACCTGGAATGAAGTGCCGTTTGGTCACGTGAATGGTCTGTTGATGGGATATTCCATAAAGTACCGAAGAGTGAAAACAGCTGAGAAAAATGTAGTTCACTTGGAGGAGACGGCCATAGCAAAATCAACTGATCTCTGGATAGTACTCAATGTTCAAACCTACTCGGTTTATAAAATCGAAGTGGCGGCTTTTACTCAAAAGGGCCTGGGGCCTTATAGTGAATATATCTATGGTGGTAGGTATAGGTATAAATAATTCGGAATAGCTTAACGCTGTAATCACTGAGTTCAATGACAATGTACAAAGTGTCCACCATAAAGAGTTTCAAAGCTGGGCGAATGCTTGAATAGCTATCCTCTCTGAATTACAGATGTTTGGACTTATCCCCTCCTTAACATGTCATGTCAATATTGAGAAATTAATCATTTTTAAACACAGGGTGGGGTGGGGGGGGGAGAGTTCGGAGGATCACATGATTTTCTGGGGGAATGGTTAGAGTGGACTACTGAACATTGACTGCTAATGAATGCTACTGAGCCTTATGGGGGATCAGGTCAATGTTATTATGATACAAGTAAAGTCTTACGGACCCCACTTCCCTGGCGATGAATAATTATCGGTCCCTAACAATTTGGTGAATATCTCTCATCCATATTTTTCGTTTACTTTAAAGAAACCTGTCGCTGTCCAAAGACTCTTTACACGAACTATTGGTCAACTCCGCCGTATCTAAAAGTGAATCTAAAAGGAAACACTCTGGATGGCATTTTTAGTCACATTGTCACAGATATGATTTATACAGCTTGTGGAGAGTGTCCTGCATACGGTTTCACCGAAATCAACTTGGCTTCAAACGGAAATGGACAGCGATCCGGCAAGGAAAGCCTTGTAGACGTTCTTGGTGACATCGATGAAGTTCCACAAATAAGTTTTCCAATCTACGGCAACAGATACGTAACAAGATTTGGGGGCGTTCACCCTTATGTCAACCTTGTGGAGTCCCCTGGGTTGGCTTTTGTCGCCGCCAAGAGGACTCCAGGAGCAGCTGCAAGAAACATTGTAAGCGCTGTGCTTTCGTGCTTTCCACTGGTACTACTGTCTGCATGTATGGCCTTTCTTTCCGGGTTCATTATATGGCTTTTGGTGAGTATATAGTATTTCGCTGTTATTCATTTAAAAACCAAAGCTTTTTAGGAGTAGAGTTTTGGACTCAACTTCACACACTTCAAAAAATAATGCAATAATGGTAATAATGATGTTAATATTCTCATGACCTTTTCTGGAAAAAGTATGGATATTACAGGGAGAAATTGCATGTCAATCACCTTTAGGAGTTCAAGGGTTAACTGAGTCTATGAACCGCCCACAAGGAAGTATATCGCTTTCGTGGATTGCACCTCAACAGTGCTGTGTACCTTATAACCTAAGTAGACTTCAAACTTTTGTTCGTTTTGTTTTGTATTCTTAATTGAAGTTAAAACATTGGGAATGTTTCTCTCGTCATCGTTCCCTATCTCATTATTCAGGATATGAAGAACAACTCAGATCAGTTTCCAGCCTGTTTTAGCAAAGGTATCGGCGAAGGATTCTGGTGGTCGTTCGTCTCCATGACTACCGTTGGGTAAGAAAACCCTTAACATTTGTTATTTGTGCCGAATCTCTTATCGGTGTTTACTTCTTAGCAGCCCTTTTTCGTTATCGTGAACCCAAGCCCCTCCTCTACTCTCTGTATGTTCACTTGACTGTCTGTCTGTTTTTGTTTTCAGCTATGGAGACCGTTTCCCCTGTTCTGTTCCTGCCCGTATTTTTGGTATCGCATGGACCCTCACTGGAATCGTTATTATCTCAATTCTTACCAGTGCGATTGCGTCGGCGCTGACGATTGTCAACGTTCCATACCCAATAAAATTGTACGGTGCAAAGGTGCGTTTCGATTGTAAATACATAATCAGTTTTCTTATACACGCGGCACAGCAGGCTACATGGCATTACTTCATCTTACTTTACTAACTAATTGAAATCTCACGTTGCTTGTCTCTAGTTTTATCTAAAAAACAAAGGAGTGGATTCCATTTCCTTCAGGGACTGTAAATTACGTATGCCGTATATCAGAATCTAATGGAAACTGGAAACTAGTACATGAACTGCATGAGAAGATGTAGCGATCGCATTACTGATGGACTTGCCACGGAAATAGTTACAGACATAGTTATAGCATTGTTACGGAAATAATAACTCTTCATTGTTACTGGAAATGACTCTTTTACAGACTTAGCGTAATCGAGCATGCCCTTTTAAAACGTTTGGTAAATATCAGTTCTGATAGTATTTCTTTGAATTTAACTTAGATCGGAGCAATTCAAAACTCCACGGAACATCGAATTGGCACCCTAAAGAATGCAAGAATAAATGAAGGTAAAAACATGAATCCTAATCCCTACTGGTCATTAAGATATTTTGTGAGTATATCTGGTGGGTTGAAAAAATGGAGGGGTTCCGAAGCCTGCTTGCGAGAACGCGAGTTGCGCGCGCCCTTAAAAGCTAACATGCACTCGAGAGATACCGAAATAAACAGAAGTAACCAAGTCACGATTCGCTATAGCTTTGCATGTAATTTGCCGCGAGAATGGAGTGTGCTATATTAAATGACCAATCTCGAAACAGAGTAGAACAAAATTTAGCAATCCGTAATCCCTTTCGATCCTTATTTAGGAGTTGAAATAACCTGTTAATAGTCCTTCAAATTAGAATTTTAAAATGGACAAGGCAAAAAAAAATTTTCCTATTGTTTTTATCCACAGAAAAGAACTATAAAAATCTTGAAGAAATTCGTGCAGCGCTCGAAGATGGAGAAATTGAGGGTGCCCTTATAGACACGTACGTTGCTGCAGATCACAAGAGCGAACTTTTCAGTGACAGAATCTATGTGAAGCAGATTTTGGACCAACCACTTGGCTATGGAGTTGTTCTTTCAGGAGCAGCAGTGAATGTGGAGCAGAGATGTCGGGACTTCATCAACCTGCACATGAGTAATATATTCCACATGATAACCATCTCGACAATGACACTTGATGTAAGTAAAATTCATAGTTGTTATTTTAATATTCTATATTAAAGTTCAATAACGCGCGCTGTCACCAGCTGAAAGAGAATACTGTATGAGAGCATCGAGCATTGAGCTGAGCTAAAGTTGTCGCGCCATCTTCCAAGCTGTACTATGTCCAACCGTTTCCTGGACTTCTCTCAAGCCTTTTTTTCGTTAACTGGAAGTGAAATTTCGGAATAAGTGAGCCGACAAGTAGCGACAGAAGAACCCAACAAAGGTTTGCAAACATGCTAGGTGCCGTAATTTGCGTTATTACAACGTAAGCAGAGACGAAAATCCTCAATCAGAAAGTCAAATGGACAGTCCGAGTTTTGAAGGTTTTCACCCTCTCTACACTTTCTTCGTGCTGTAGCCGCTTCCTGCGTGCTTTTACAAATGCACAGAGTACAATCAAGGCTTCCCTATCTGTTAAGTAAAGGCTTAATTCAACCAATAGTGACTCTTTACAATGGAGTTGGACTCATTATCAGTGATAAAACCAGGGATAAGTACGTGGTCCGGACCACAACCCTACCCCCATCAGGCCAATAAATATTTGCAAACTTCTTCCACCACCAGGGTCTTATATTAATGCTTAACCTAAGATATTTTAAATCTAAGGAACAGTCCGATAATTTCTCGTTAGAGTGGGAAGTGGGGATAGTATTATTTGGATGTGTCACAATAACATTTGCCTGATCCTACCCAAAGGCTCTGTAGTATTCTAATTATCCCCTACATTGCCAGTCAATAGCTTCTCCTCCCTCTCCCCTTTCTGTTCTGTTAGCGACGACTGACCCCCTCCCTTCCCCCCTGAAACCGTGCGATTCCCCCAAAACCTCAAGCTCCTTGCAGGTGATCAATAATGGCTGGTCACATATTATACCTGGCCCGTATAATTTTTTTTCTTTGACTGTATTTTTCAATTGATTAAAAATACTTTCGTGGTTGTTGTTGTTGCTGTTGTTGTTGTTATTGTCGAGTTTTTTTCTGTGCTTATTTCTTGTGGTCTCTCGCAGCCTGCTCCTCCAGATGAAAATGTGGAATCAAGTACAGACTTGTTCGACGGTTCCTCCGTTATGTTCCGCATGGCCTTAGCTTCCTTGTGTGGAATGCTTGGATTAGCAATCATTGCTGGGATAACTTACCACTATCTGATTTTCGTTCCACACCAAAAGAGAGGTAAGACGTCTTATCTCTTATCTTGAGTGAATATTTTTCAGGAATAAGTACAGGTAAAATCGAAAATTCTATGTATTTCTAAGCATTCTTGTACCCAGATATTTCATGGCCAATCAGCTGTTACACTGTAGGATCTTGGTACGAGATTAATTACAGGCAATCATAGCGCTTTGAAGTTTGGCTACTAAGGAATTGGAATTCTTACCTATTAACCCAACAACTCCTAGAAGTGATTAACATGCATCTTGTACCTATAAGGAAAGAGAGAGGCAATTCAGGATAATAACACAATTGAATTACTTGACAGAGTCACTGGTCACGGTGTATTTTAGAATGCGCCTTTATCGCCGGTTACACCGAATAGAATCCTGGGGTTCGGTTCTGAATTGTTCATAGAGGTTTGAATAGCGTAAGCTGTCAGAACTCAAATATGAAATAAATAAGCCAAATTTTTAAAATGAGTTTGCATTATAATATTGACCTAGAGCTAATCAAATTATGATATTCGATACGTTTTGTAGACATCTTTCGTCACGAGATAGTAAAATTTGCCAAATTTTGGCCTTTTAAAATGTTTAAAGTATTAATCCGTGTGGTCTAAAGCTCTCTCCTACTATATTTCCAACTTAAATGGTTAAAATCAAAGATTTATCGAGCTACTTATATAAAACGGTCGGAGGTTGCTCAATGAACTCATTTGCATAATCTGTAAAACTTTAAAGTCACCACGGCGAGGAAAATTGATAAGTGCAGGATGTTTTTAGATTTTTCTGCAGCCAAACGTCTTGTTAGAAGAAATAAAGCGGAGTTTTCAATGGTCTGGTCTGGAATTGAGCAATATCAACCAAGAAAGAAACAGTCCTTTTGACCAATTTGAGAAAGCTGTCTAACGAGTGTTTTTAGATAAATTATGACGAACCTCTGATAAACGAATATCAAAATTGAAATACTTTTTATACACCTTACATATCACACAGTCTAAGAATACAAAAGATTTTTTGCTGCATGCGGTGTGATACGAGGACCCGGCTTTTCAACTTTTGAAGTTTTCGATGTCATAAGAGGTCAAAAAAGGCCTTTGGAAGTTTTTATTATTTAGAGCTCTAAAAATTTTATTGTAATTTATTTCCAGAAACTAATGTGGTTTTATTTACTCGCGACCAAAGATAGTCTATTGGGTAAAGTTTCAGAGAAAACTTTTTCCGATGCGAAATGCACTGGACCGCTCTTAAAGAGATCGCTACTTAACAATCAGATCTTGGGAGTTTAGTGGTCAAATAATTAAATGTTACAATTGCATTTCTTTGTTTTACTGACCATGGCTCCTTTGCAGCATAGTGTTGACAGGAAGACATTACATTCGCCCCCACTTTTGGCGAGTTTTTGGGGATGGGGTGGGGCAGGCTTTAATAGTTACGGGCAGTGCGCTTTTTTTATTCTTTATCGTAAATTATTGTAAGCTCCAACCAGTAATTTTGGACTCATTGATAATCGTCAGTAAATATCCTCAACCTATATGTTTTTTCTTTTTCAGTTGACAGGCTAAAAGCATCTTCATCCCAACTTGCTCAGAAAAAAGCCCTAGTTGCAGAAATGAGAGATTTTGTACGCATATTTCACTCACAGATGTCCACTCGAATATCTTCAGAGATCGATAAGTGTAAACAAGTATTAAGAGACATAAGAGAGGAAAGAAACATTTCTAAACAAGGCGGTGCACTTTTATTAAACAATGTTAAAACTAATCCAATCTACTCAGATGCGTCTGAGGGATGTGATTCCGTTGTGGCACAGCGACCTTTTGTATTCAAATCAGCGAAGAGTATTGAAGAGCTTAACAAACATAACACTTTTGTAAACACTGCTGCCCTAAATTCTTCCGGAGAAAACTTGAGCCTTGAGAGTGACTCTGATAACTGTACGAAATGAAGTAACTTTGTGTTAGGTTACACGAAGAACTCAATAATATAATGACGACAAAGCTCAGATCAGTTGATGGATAAGATGGTGTTCATGTTGCTATGGTAATTTTACAGGGTTTAGGAGATGTTTATAGCGGTGGTCTTTGACAGTTAGGCATTCTATGTTATTTCGATCTTTCACCGTGACGCGACAAGCATTAATAGTATAGATTTATTGAAGCTGTTTAAGTAACTCCAAGAGCATTTGCTTTGAAATAAACGAGACTTATTTCTATTTCTAATCATAATAATTAGGCACTGTATTTATTAGTGATCTTTTGCCGTAAGACGAGAACGATCAACAGTAAAGATTTATTGTAGCTCTATGAATAGCTCCTTGAGCGTTTGCTCTGAAATAAGCAAGACTTTCTATTTGTAATCATTAGGCATTGTATTTATGAGTGATCCTTAGCCGTAAGACGACAACGATTAAAAGTAAAGATTAATTGTAGTTCTATGAATAGCTCCTTAAGCATTTGCTTTGAAATAAACGAGACTTATTTCTATTTGTAATCACAATAACTGGGCATTGTATTTGTTAGTGATCTTTTGCCGTAAGACGACAACGATTAATAGCAAACATTTTTTGTAGCTCTATGAATAGCTCCTTTAGCATTTGCTTTGAAATAACAAAGACTTATTTCAATTTGTAATCAGAATAATTAAGCATTGTATTTATGAGCGATCTTTTGTCGTAAGACGACAACGATTAAAAGATTAATTGTAGCTTTATAAGTATAGCTCCTTAAGCATTTGCTTTGAAATAAAGAATAGCTACATATTACTGGCTTCCATATTTCTGTTTTTAATTATGATAATTTGGCATTCTATTTAATATAATTTTCTGTGCTGCACAAAAAAATCAGGTTAGTTGAAACTGTTTCTGTGGCTCCTCGAGCATTGTGAAATTTGACAATATGCAAGGCAATAAATGACGAAAAATGCGCTTTCTCAGTTTGCTAGCCAATTTCGTACTACGTGCAAGACTGATTGCAAATATGTATATTTATTTCACAAAATTATTTGTAATTCCAATAAAAGACACGCCGGCTGATCCCAAAAAATAATTTCAGGTTTATTGAATACAACACTCATAATCACATCCTCATTAAAGGCGAAATAACATCTTCCCTTTAACTAACACACATTTCCTCTCCATTATTTAGCTTTCTCAAATATCGTTTTTTGGTTTGTAATTGAAAAAAAATTAAAATCTTCCTCAGTACCTCACTAAGGAAAGATGGCAGATTTAACTTCAGCGCTATAATGTTTTTTTCTTGTAGTCTTAACATGACGAATATTCAGGTTCTATATCGTCTTCAGAAATTACCATGTTAGGTAGCGTCTGAGAACAAAAGGGTTCCTGACATTTTGAAGAATATCCAGAGAGAAATGAAAAGGATTTTAGCAAAACCCTTTGTGAACTGTGCTCCAGTTCGTTATTTTCATTATTTGAGACAAGTTGGACAACGTGCTTTTGCTTCTCATACTGTTTCTCACTAGTCCAACTCCGAGGTGTTTGGGTACTAACAACAATACTGCTCTCTGTGTCTCTTTTGGAACTATCTGCAGATCTACGAATTCGCATTTTATATTTCGCTCGCCTTTTTCGGTTCACAACCTCCTGTAGCTCCTTCCTGATAGAGGAAATCTTTTTTAACATGTCCATGTAGAAAGAATTCACGAAAGCTTTCATTTCATCATTAAGAACCTTCTGGTAACTGAGTTGTTGGTCAGTGATTCTTGCCTCGTCCACTAAATGGAAATAACAAAATGCTGTGAGAAAATAAGCGTTACGCGAACCCCAACTGCCAACTTCTCATGTAATCCTTAAATCAATGCTGCATAAAAAAAAACAACAACAACAACAACAATAAAAAATAAAACAACAACAACAACAGCAACAACAAAAAACCGCTTACCTCTTTTCCTTCGGGGAACATATATCAAGAAATGATAAGAGAGCCCGCCCAAGATGGCAACTCCTAGGACGGCAAGGAGAGAAACCAAGCTAATACGGAACATTTCAGATGTGTTGTCAAACAATCCCGTACTTTGTTCCATTGCGGCGCTTTCAGCTGGTGCCTGAAAAATGTACATGCAAAAACTTTACCATGTATTCCCGAGATACGTTTAATCCTAAAATTAAATAACAAAAAAAAAACAAAAAAAACTGATTTTCACTAAACCTAACTTTGAAACGACTTAAGCTTGGATGAATTTCTTCTCGATTGAGTTCTACACTCAGAATTTATATCATGCTTTTTTATTTTTTTTGCATTATCCGTTTCCTTTTTTCGTTAGTAATCAATATATGAGTAGCTAGATCCTACTGTTTTGAATCATTAATAAGCTAGCAAAATTGGAACCGTTGTTACTACAAATCACGATCAATATATATCTTGCAAAATTTAGCTTAGATTCTCAAGTTCGTGAGTAGCAAACCGTTTTAATTTAAACCATTTCCTGCTATCCTTTTTTCTTCTTAATACTCTAGCCTTTCTTTCCTTTCTTTCCAGGTTAATAATATTTATTTAAGGAGATTGTATTTGTTTTTTTGTTTTTTCCTCCATTTTTTTTAAAATTTACACAGCTGTTTTCAACTTCAAGGACATGACATCTGTGGTCATTGTCAGGGTTGGTTTGGTTTACCACTTCATGAAAAGGTGAATCCAAATTAACGTAGCTGTTATAGAATTACTTACATCAAGAGTCTTCGTCATATTCTGGATGATGTGAAAAATTTCAGTTATGTGCATATTGATATAATCCCGGCATTGTTGCTCAACACCCACAGCCGCTCCAGAAAGAACCACTCCGTACCCAACTGGCCTCTCTAAGATCTCTTTAACATATATTCTGTCATCGAAAAGAGTTTCTTTATGTTCTGCAGCTACGTAAGTGTCTAACAAAGCGCCATCAATTTCACCATCTTCAAGTGCTGTTCGGATTTCATCAACGTTATGGTATTCTTTTTCTGAATGAATGAAAATAATGAGTAAGCCAAATTAATCTGAGATGCTTGGTGCTAAGTCCAGAATAGTCAGAAGTCAGAGATCATTTCGGACGACTCCCTCCCCCCGCCTCAGAACTTTGTGTCGTCCAATTATGTCTGTAATAATAATCGTGAGTTACAAATCGGACTCCCGCTTTGCGGTCGTACGATTGGCTAATCGCTTGTATGATTACAGACCGAATTGGATTCCACTTGGCCTTATACGAAATTTATCAGTTGCCCAAAGTTATCATATTAGTTGTTATAAATCGATCTTACCTCCGTTTACTTTTGCATTCTTAAGAACTCCAAGGCGATATTCCACGGAGTTCTGAATGGCTCCGATCTAAATTGGGAAAAAAATGTATCCCTCTAAGTATTTCCCTTTTAGATATAAGCTGGTGAATCAGACTCTTCCTTAGCAACTTGAATGCATTATGTTGCTAAAGTTGTTATCCCTAACCCATCCTGGTGTTTGTAAACCTATCGTTTTGTCTGTGTGTCTGTGTGTCTGTCTGTCCACCTGACCTTTTGCATTTCTGTCTGTCTCTCAGTTCGTCTCTCTCTACCTGACTGTCTATCTATTTCTCGGTCTGTCTGTCTGTGTACTCTTCTTTCAACCTTCCTGGCAGTGCGAGTGTGCATCTGTCACTAATCTATTTGTATGTATTTCTGTCAAGAGAAAAAGTCATTAAGTATTACTTTGAATCATGCATTATCACCATTTGTTTAGGAATACCTTCGCCCCATAAAGAATGACAGGTTTATTCACATTGACATATGTCAGTGACGAAGCAATCGCACCAATCAGAATGGAGATAATAACAAGTCCAATTAGGGTCCATATGATACCAAAAACACGGGCAGGGATAGAACGGGGGCAGCGATCTCCATATCTGCAAGGAGTACATGTAACTGACATTTATAAAAGGATTGGTATACACTTAGATACTGAAAAATGTACATTAGAATTGTATACCTGATGATGCATATTTGTCTAAAATAAGCGCTATCGTGAAATGATTTACAACATCAAATTACTTTTTTTAAATACCGGATCAATATAGGAATGGTAATAACGACCAGATCTGGCCTAATAAGGCTTCGTTTAAGCGGCCAAGATTTGCTAATAGGTATCAATACTTTTTATACAAAAAAAAAAAAAAAAAAAAACAAAAAAAAATTGGCTATAATCAGCTTACCCAACAGTTGTCATTGAAATAAACGACCACCAAAATCCTTCACCAACACCTTCTATAAAAGCAGGCGGAAATTCGTCTGGGTTGAATCTAGAGTCCTAAAGAAGAGGTATATTAAATGTGAGAGAGAAAGATACAATATTTCATTCGAAGAAGTACTTATAGTTTTGGAAACAGTACATTATTTGAGCTTAGGGGATTAATAAGAAAATCACTAAAGGTTCTCCATTCATATTAAAAGATTCTTGGATGGCATAGACAATTACTTACCAAGACCCAAATGATGAATCCAGAAATATAAGCCATACATGCTGACAACATAATCATAGGAATGCATTCTACAACTGCGTTTATCATGTTCTTAGCCGCGGATCCGGGGAGACTCTTTGCAGCAATAAATGCCACCCCAGGGGAATCTACAAGGTTGATATAAGCATAAGCTCCTAGGTATCTTGTGATGTATTTGTTGCCGTAGATCGGAAAGCTTATCTGTGGAACATCATCGATGTCATCAAGCACTTCCGAGATACTTTTCTTGCCAGAAGAGTCTCCTTTTCCATTGGTTGCAATCTCGATTATAGTAGAACTACTGTGACCAGGGCAAAGACCACAAGCTGCAAAGATCATATCTGTCACAATTTTGCTGAAAATTCCTTCCATCCTGTTTTCGCCCTTGCTCACTCTCAGATATGGAGACGTTGACCAGAAATTTGTGTACAGAACTTTTGGGCAACGGCAGGATTCTTGTGAAAAGGACCAAATACACTGTCATATAACTTTTCCTTTGATTTTAAAGCGTATTTAGGATCATTTTAACATGAAAGGGTCGAGTGCTCACTCGGGTGATCACTAAGGGCCTCCTTCACGTACTCACTCAGGTAGTTACTCATGCACTTACTCAAGTACTCACTCAAGTACTTTATCAGATTCTACTCAGGCACCCATTTACTCACGCGGTTACTTACTCAGGAACCTAATCTGGGTACTCACCTGCGTAGGCATATTCAGTATATGGTCCCATGCCTTTCCGAGTAAAAGCCGCCACTCCAATTCTGTAAATCGAGTACGCTTCGACTTGTAGGGAAACCGAAAGATCTGTTGGCCTCAAAGTCAGTGTGTGCTCGTCTACGCCAAAGACTTGCCTCTCGGATGTTTGAACTCTTTGATACTTTAAGGAGTAGCCTAGTAATATGCCGTTGATGTGATTTGAAGGGACTGGACTCCAGCTGACATTAATGAATGCTTCGGATGTAAGGTTGTAGGCTTTGAAGTCCACAGGAGGCATGCTGGGAACTAGACGGAGAGATAAAAATAATGATTAAAAAAAAAAAAAAAAAGGCATCGAGAACCTTATAGAAATATTTCGGGAAAAAAAAATGAAAAACCCCATACCAGTAACTCAGAACATAATAAAAGCGTAGTTAGGAGTCTCTCTTTGTTTTGTATAGGTTTTGTTTTTTGTTGTTGTTGTTGTTGTTTTTTTATTTCAT